AGAATTGGTTTGCGTACCGCAGCACCTCTTGAGGTGTTTTCCCTGCTAAATCACACCGTGTCAATTCCAGGACACGACATGTGCATTCTCTGAGTCCGGCTGGAGGTCACCACATCTCCTGGCTGTGTCTGCCTTTATGTGTGCTTGATATATGGTCTTGTGGAAAGACCCAAAGTCGAACGGTCTGGATTCCCGTCCCCTCTCAGTCGTCATCTACTGGGTTATGTCATCTTGGATTTGCTTCCCACTTCTCCCATTTCCTTATCCTAAGCCTTAAAATAGATAAGGCAGAGGTGTTTAGGACAGCTCCCAAGCACACTACGAGTGCAAAGGAATTTTATTATCTACAAGCTAGGACTCTTAACTATGCCTAGGTGTGTACCTGGCTTGTGGACACACCAAGACTTCTGCATCGAGTGTCATTGTCTTTTAACATTATTCAGAAATTCATTCTATCTGCCACCTTCTTGACAAATGGCATCAACGCCCTCATCTGGGAATTATTGCCTTTTTATTTTTTCCTCCTGATGCCAAGGTTGCTGTTGACAATATGTATTCAGGCCAGGCAGGGGCTCCCTGTGTTTCCCAATCAGATGCCATGCACACTTCTTCCGTCAGAACAATTAGTGTTCATTTCGGCTTTCCTCGGGTAGACCTGCGGTGACTGATCAGTATAAATTATAGATGCGTCTGTCCAGATGCGCTTCTTCATTCATGCATAGATTTGAGGACATTTCATCCTTCTCCATTCAAAAATAGTCACTAAAAAAAAAAATCACCCCGAAAAAATATAATTTAGCACATTTTCATCTATGTTGTTGTGCTTACACACTCACACATCCCGCCTATGATTTGAGGCATTTGAACTTGATTTGGGACATTTCTGGGTTGTTAGTTACCCCCGCCCCTTATACAATCTGCTATCTTTACAAAATATTAGGGAATGATGGATACTTAACCCAAAATAATACAATGAGATTTGTGTGTGTGCGCGCACTGCATTTAAGTTTATTGTCAAAGACACATCCTGTTTTTAAAGTTTTTATTTTAATGTCAATTAGTTAACATACCGTGTAATCTTAGTTTCAGGCGTGCAATACAGTGATTCAGCAGTTCCATACATCACCCTGTGCTCCTCACGACAAGGGCCCTCCTTGATCCCCATCACCTAGTTCTCCCTCCCCCTCACCTCCCCTTTGCTAACCATCAGTTTCTTCTCTGTAGTCAACTCTCTGTTTCTTGCTTCAAGACACATCTTTTTGTGTCTGCTCAGGACCGTTAGCAATTTTAAAGCAAAGCACCATGAACTTCAAATAAACAATGCAGATGAGGACTCTCCCTGCTCCAAACAGGCCTTTGACTATTTATTCCTATTTGTTTTAATGAGCAGCTAGAGGAAATATCAGGGCATACTGCGTACCACAACAAAAGAATCTGTACCATTTGTATGAAATACTTTGGGCGGAATGACCCCTTAACCATAACAGGGAGGGTCTGCATTTCATAGGTCTGTCGCCTTGCCTCAGTTGAAATTCACACACATACACACAATTGGGCATTTTTCCCAAAACTAAATTAATCAGTGCTAAACAAAGCAATGAAAAGCCAGAGCCTTCAGCAGCCAGCGGGAGCGTCTGTCAACTGTCAGCAGGATGAGAGTACATTCATTCCAGGGCTACTTCCCTGACTCAGGCTTTCCAAGAGGGACTTTTCTTTTTCCCTGGGGCCTCGGCCAGACACAGGTTGATAATTGTTCAAGCCCCTGGCTCTGTTTTGGTACGAGGCTCTGAAAATCGCACTTCCTAAGAACTATTTGTCCGGAGCCCCACCCAATGCTGGCAGTGGTCACAATCAAATTGCAGAGGTACCTGGTAGGGTTTGGGGGGGGGGGGTAGCAATAGAAAGAAATAAGAAATCAAGGGCCCCCATGGCAGGAAGTGGCAGTCTCCATGCCCAAGACACTCCGATACCATAAAGTAACTTTGAACACAATAGAAAGGTGCCTGAATATAAGACCTGCTTTTTTGTTTGTTTTCCTTCCCTACATAAGAAGAAAAGCACTGAGGGACCTTCATTGCCTTACCTTCCAATTTACTTCACCACCGTTCTTCCTCCCCCCCCCCCCTTTTTTTTTCTCTTGAAAAATCATGTTGGTTTTCTCTAATCCTAGGGAGCAAAGACAAGAGGTAGGCCTGGAGGCCCTACACACAGCATTGATACCGCAGAGGTCTTATAAATCAGCTAAAAATCAATACATTCTATATGGTAGCTTCTCCTTTGCAACCAGATCGCCAGGGGACAGAACTAATGCTTTTTCCTCACCACCATCCCCATTTTCCTGTCATTAAAAAAAAAAAGAAAAAATCTGCTTAGGAAAGAATGGGCAATCAAACTTGCTGAGTAAGTATTTCAACTATCTAATTTTATTACTTTACAATTGACATACCTTCCCTCTGGAAATGTTTGCAATTAATTAATTAGCAGTAATCTTCCCCAAGGGACTGATTGAATGAATTCTCTCCAACGCTTACTTTAAAAAAAAAAAAAATAGCTTAGATGTATCCAAGCTGCAAATGTGTGGATGGCTCTAAAGTGCATTTTGAAAAATCAAGGGATCTATCTATTACGGGGAATTGTTATCACTAAATCAATCTGGCGATGGCTGTAATTCTTTTTCTAACTGGGAGTTTCCCCGGGTTGAACGCGAGGTTTCTCCAAGGTAACAGGCCACTCGGTGGCGGCAGCCTGGCAACCTTGCTTGGCTCGTTAGTATTTAGAATGGAGCCTGTCCTCACAATAATCAAACCAGGCAGAGGAGTCTGCTTGCGCCTTCTGCAGAATCTGCCTCGGGAGGTGGGTGAGCCGATGTTGTTCCAAAGAGGTAGTGGCTTCTGGGCCTACCAGGTCCCCCAGCAAGAGTCGCCAGGAAAGCTTAAGGCCAGGGATCCCGGGCCAGGGCCCTAGACCTTGCCTGGTCCTTGGGCTTCCTCCTCGCCTCGCAAAGTCCCAGGGTAGAGTCCCGGGTTGTCCCTAACATCTGAGCCACAGGCTCTTGCGTTTCGACTAGAAACTAAAATGGGGCCCTTGAACCAGCCCCCTCGATTCCTTCTGGAAGGTGCAGAGAGGACCTGGGAGAGCGTTTCTGTAACCGTGAGTGAAAGGCTAGACTTTCTGAGGTTTCTGGCCTGCAAACCCCAAAGCCTGAGTTCCACTCAGATACTGGCGGCATCCCTTGAAGACCTCCCTCCATTAGACTGGATGCCCCTCCCGCCCTCTACCTTCTCCCCCACCCCGTCCCCAACGTCGTGGGTTGGAGGCCCTGGGTGAATAAACTCTGGGCCTGGGGATCGAGCCTGAGTGCTCAGAATCTACAGTGCTGGAAAACTGGCTGCCGCTGGTCCCGGGCCAGGCCTAGAGCACGCAGCCCCCTCGCGGGTACGAACGAGCTCCTCCGCCCATCAGCGCCCCTTTGAGGATCCCTGGGGTAGAGGGGGGTGGTCAGATCGCTGGGCCCAACCCGGCGTCGCGGCGGAGCGCTGGACTTGGGCCTCAGTCCGGGCGCGCTGAACCGCGGCTCGCCAGCGCCACCCCCAGCGGAGCACAGCGGCTGCAGCGCCGCCCGGGCACCTTCCTGGGGCTCCCCGGCTCCCCGGTGGACACAGCGGTCAGTGCGCAGGAACCAACCAAGCGTCGCCTTCGGAGGAGATGTCCAGGGGCGTTCGCCAGCCGTCTGCGGATGCCAAGGGTCAGATTTAGCGCGTTTCCAGGCCGAGTCCAAGCCGAACTGAATCTTGGCCTCGAGAGGGCGCTATTCGCTCTGTTCGAAGGCCAGAGGTTGCAGAGAAGCCCCTGGGTCGAGACCCTGGCAAAGACCAGGGCTCGGAGAGCCTGAATGTAGCCTCAGTCCTGGGGAGGCCGGGGTGTGGAACCAGATTCCGAAGCACAAAGACCGGCGGGCCGGTGGGCACCACCGACGCTTTCCGGCGACAGCCCCAACCAGGGCCGGGCCTCTGGCGAGAACAAACTTTCCTGTAGGGGGAGGGGCGGGGGAGCCGGGCTGGAGGCTGGTCCCCTGAGCCGCCGCTCCCCTCCACCTGCCTGCGTTCAACCTCCGCCCTACCTTCGCCCACCCCAGTTCCCTCCCCTCCCCCGCGAGCCTCTGTTCGCTTAGACTCATCTCTCTCCTCTCCCCTCCTCCTTCTCCCTCTTGCCTTTCTCCCCCACTTTTCTCCTCTTTTTTCCTCCTATCTCTTCTTTTGTATTCCCCCCCCGCCCTCCCCGCGCCCGGCTTGCTTCTCTCCTCCTCCGGGCCGCAGGGGAGGAGGTAAGCGCGCTGCGCCCGGACCTGCGCGGCTCAGAGGGAGGCGTTTCTCCTACTACTCCCGGGTAATTTGGAGAGATTGTATGTGTGTGCGCGCGCGCGTGAGTTTAAGGAGAAAAGGGATAGGATCCAGCGCCAAACAGAGAGGGTCAGGGTCTTTGACGTTCCCCGCCAGCTGCACAAACCTCCCGGAACAAGTGTGAGCGTGGGTGAGAGTGCGCGCGCGCGCACGGGCTGGCTGCGCTTGGCACGCTTGGTGGCCCGGGGCCCGAGGGCCCGGGGGCCCGCCTGGCGGCCCGGGATTACCGTGACGTCACATTGAGCCTCTGGCCACCTTGGACTGGGACACCTCTGAAGCCTCACAGCCCGGCGCCGCGCCTCACCTTGCCTCGCCACCGCGCGACTTTGGGAACCCGCATCCTCTCCCTTTCCTTGCCCATCCATGGGCCCTTCTGTCTTCCGGACCACGCGGGCCGGAGGGGCGCGTTCTGGGGCGCAGGGCTCGGCAGCTGGACTGCCCTCGGCTCTGCCTCCGGTCGTGCCAAGCGGGCGGAGGACCGGGCGCTGGGCACCGGCAGCCGTGTAAGGCACCGAGGCGGCGCACGGTTGGAGGCTCAGAATCGCCGGGCTGAGGCGGGAACTCGCAAGGGAAGGAGGAGGAGGGTCGAGGGCAGCCACCATGTCCTTCCCGCACTTTGGACACCCTTACGGCAGCGCTCCCCAGGTAAGAAGTGCCTCCATAGGGGGTGGGGGCTGACTCAGAGGAGGGGGTGCCCGGTGCACGCGCCTGCAGCTGAGCGCCCTCTTTTCGCACTAGTCTCCCTGGAAGCCAGAGGGAGCAGGGACCAGGGTAATGTACCACAGAGCCCTCCACACCCCAACCTCTGGCCGAGAACCTTCCACTCCCCCCAGCCCGGTGCAGAATGGAAAATCGTGTGACCCGAAACTTGGGCACTAACCACGCGCTAAGCTAGGTGGGTGGGATCTCAGAGATCTAGCCTCCTGGTCACCCGGAGGGTCCATCTCACCATTTTTCAGTTGTTTGCTTATTGACTTCTGTTCTTAACCTCTCCCTTCTTTGACTGGGTCCAAGCTCTTTGCTTCTGATTGCTTCGATTTTCCAGATTATGTTCGGTGTTGTGCAGTGACAAAGATTTCCTGGGGAAATTCCGGAGACACCCAGCACTGTTCTCCGGTTTCTGCAGATTGTAGGGTCTAGTTCCAACTTGACCTCTGACCCGCCCCCTGACCCTGCTGCTTGTGCCCTTTCTATAAAAAGGGAGCTGGAGTAAGACGCGATGGTGATCTCTAAGGCTAACTTCTATCTCTGTCTTTGTAAGATCCTGTGATGGGGGCGAAGGAACAAGAGGAGTTTGGCCTCTGTAATTCGGGTTTCAGAAAGTGCCATCACCCGGACCCCTGGGACTCTGGAGCCTTAGCAACGTTTTAGAAATATCTATAAGGGCAGTTTGGATAAATCACGGCTTCAGATAATTCCCATCGCAGCGGAGTGCTCGCTCAGTTCTGGGTGGCATTTAGTTAATGTTGAATGAGGGAGTGCTCCCGCCAGCCTGGGGCGCCCATCTCTGACCTCCAGTGCACCTCTCTCACCCCATGTAGTTTCTGGTATCTGCAAGTTCCAGCGCCACTTGCTGCGAATCTGCCCCGCGCTCCGTCCCAGACGTGGCCTCAGGCTCCACCCCGGCTGCCGCTCTCTGCTGCGCACCCTACGATGGTCGGCTGCTGGGTAGTGCTCGGCCAGAGCTGGGCGCGGCCTTGGGCATCTATGGAACCTCGTACGCGGCCGCGGCCGCAGCAGCTGCCCAGAGCTACCCAGGCTACCTGCCCTACAGCCCAGAGCCGCCCACGCTGTACGGGGCGCTGGTGAGTACACTGGGTGGAGCCTGGCTCTGTGCGCCAAGACCCATCCGGCCTGGGGGCATGAACACTGCAGCAGCGAGTGAAATCCAGTGTGCCGTCTCTGGGGGGAAATGTGGGAAGGAGGGGAAACTAGGAGGAAGAGAAATGGGTAGGATTGTAAATAGCAGGGGGGGGGCACAATTATTACAGCATTTTTACACTTTGCAGAACTCCACTCTGATTACAAAACATCTGTGCTTCTATTCATTGGTGAGGGAGGAAGCCTCAGTTTACAGATGGGGAAACTGAAACGAAGGGCGTTCAATGACCTTGCCCAAAGTCCCAAAGATACAAAAGGTCAGAAAATAGCTCCAGAAGGCGAGTGAGGCGGGGAAGCTCCCCAGCTGGTGGGGAGGGGTTGGGAGAAGTCACAGGTAGTAACGGTGATAATAATAAAAAGACTCATAGTGAACCACTGTTTATTCTGCCAGGAGCTCTGCCAAGTGCTCTTCAATACCCTAGAGGTACTGTTGTTATTCCCAGTGACCAAGGGGAAACCGAGGCACAGAGTAAACTGTGCCCAAGATCTCATAGCCAGTAGGCGTGGCAGGACTGGGATCTGAACCGGACTGGACTCCAGAGGGCACACCCTTAGCAACTCTACCGCCTCTTTCCCAAAAGTCGTCCTAAATTCTCTCTTCCTACCCCACCTCCACCAGAATCCACAGTATGAATTTAAAGAGGCTGCAGGGAGCTTTACACCCGGCCTGGCACAAGCAGGAGCCTATTATCCCTATGAGCCAACTCTGGGGCAGTACCAATATGACCGGTAAGGCATGGGGGTCCCTTGGTTGCGAGTCCTTCCCCCCTCCCCCGCCATAGGGCCCATCTGGGAACAGCCAGGGAAGGAGGGTGTGTGAGGAGGGGGCTGTGCTGAACCTCATTCCCAGGCCTCGGACTGTCTCCTGCCCGCAGCCCCAGGTTCCCAGACCCAGAACTGTGAGCGAGCTTCTCCCCCCAGGTACGGAGCGGTGGAGCTGAGTGGCACTGGCCGCCGGAAGAACGCCACCCGGGAGACCACCTCCACGCTCAAGGCCTGGCTGAACGAGCACCGCAAGAACCCCTACCCCACCAAGGGCGAGAAGATCATGCTGGCCATCATCACCAAGATGACCCTCACCCAGGTGTCCACCTGGTTCGCCAACGCGCGCCGGCGCCTCAAGAAGGAGAACAAGATGACGTGGGCGCCCAAGAACAAAGGCGGCGAGGAGAGGAGGGCTGACAGTGGAGCCGAGGAGGCCCTGGGCTGCCTAAATGGCGACGCCAAAGGTACCGAGAATGCTCACCACCCCACCTTTCCGTCTTCCCTGCTGGAATGCAGGCTGGTGGTGCTCGAGCGGGCTGCCTGTTAGAAGAGCTTTTCTGGAGGCACTCCCTTACTTACCCTTGCACTTGCCTTCCTCCCCACCCCCGCCCCCCACACCTCTAGGCCTCTGCTCCTATAGTTCCCTCTGCCTAGGATTCCCTACACAACCGGCTGCTTCTCAAGTTCTAAAGTGTGGGCTGGACAAAGCCTTCCCTGGCCACCCAACTTCACCTAGCTCCCCAGTTATTCTCTATCACATATGCCTATTGTATTTCCTCTGCCGTACTTTTCACTACGAGAAGGCGCTCTGTATCTGTCTCCCCCTTCCAGAACACAAGCTCCCCCACAAAGTGTCTTACTCGCGCCGTATTCCCTAAATTCCTAATACCCGAGTGCCTCAAGGATGTCTGGCCCATAGATGGCACTCCGTAAATATTTGCTGAGCCAAACAACACACACCAGCTACCTGTGGGTGTTGAAGCCGGAGGAAGAACTGTCCCCTTGGGTGTTGGATGGTTTGTTTGTTTCATGGTGGAGAAACTGAGATCCAGATCTTAGGCAGGGAAAAGCGGTAGTTTCTTTGCATCCGAGAGAAGGAGTCTTCCAAGGAGTGGGGGCAGGGCTAGGGCCTCAATTCTTTCCCAGGGGCGAGCAGGAGCGCTAGGGCAACTCCAAGAGACGGTTTGGCCAGCCTGGCGAATAAACGCGCTGAGTGCAGAGCCGGCTTGCTAAAAGCATCTCCGGGATGGGCACCCCCTGCGGATTTCCCTTGGGGCCTGGGGCTTTTCTCACTCGGTCCTGATTTCCTGCAGAAGCTTCTGCAAGCCAGGAGGCTCGAGGGCTCCGGCTGAGTGACCTAGAAGACCTGGAGGAAGAAGAGGAGGAGGAGGAGGAGGAGGCCGAGGAAGAGGAGGCAGTGGCCACAGCTACCGACAGGCTGGCTGAGTTCCATAAAGACTCGCAGGCGCTGCCTGCGCCATACGCCGCCGCAGCTCGAGAGGCCAGGCTGGAGCGCCGGGAGGGTGGCCTGGCGGCGCGCTCCTTCTCATTCATTGAGCCGCTCGGATCCGGAGAAGCTGACTTCCTCCGGGCGGAGCCCCAGGGCCCCACGTTGACCATGCACTACGCGTGCAGCAGCGAGAAACCGCGCATCTGGTCCCTGGCGCGCACCGCGGCAGCCAGCGCTGTCGAAGGTGCGGCTGCCACCCCTCCCAGGCCACGGAGTCCTGAGTGCCATCTGATTCCAGGACAGCCTCCGGGCTCGGGCGGGCGACCCGCCGTCCCCAGAGACTCCGCGTGCGAAGAGTCTTCCCGCATAGCCAAGGCCTTCGGAAACCACCCGATCGCCCTGCAGGGGCTGCCGATGAACTGTGCGCCCTGCCCGCGGCGGAGGGAGCCTGCGGTGCCGTGCCAGTACCCGTCTGGAGCAGAAGGTAGTGGGTCCCCAGGCGCTGGGTGTGTCTGTCCGAGAGCCAGTGCTGCCCAGGGTGCTGGCCAGCCACCTACCGCCTCTCTGCCTCTGGGGAGCGGCCACGTTGGGACGTGGAGCATGATTTTCCCACAGCGCTCCTTGAAACAGCAGCTTAGAAATAAAAGTACTAGTTCCTCCTCCTTTTAAAACTCAATAAGCTCAGAGTGCAACAGTAACTTACCTAGGATCACTTAGCAAGTCACTGGAGAGATGGACAGCCTAGACCTTTGTACCTAGTGTCCAGTGTTCTACCTACATGTGCCAGGTGGCTCCATTATGACCTTCTGGCACAAACACCCTTGACCCCTGCCTGCCCCTTGCAGGAGGCCAGCTGGCCCTCTGCTGTGCTTGCACCAAGAGTTTGCTAGGGCTGGGCAGGAACCAGGGCTTTCCAGGAAGTCTGAGAGGACGGGCCAGATACACGCAGTTGGTTCAAGGCCAGCGCTTAAGTCCAGCCAGAGCCCTGCCTTCCGCCCACTAAAACCCCTGGGGAGTGTAGCGGAGAGTGTAGCCGAGGGTTAGTGCTGTCCCTGGAGAGCCCTCACCCCCAAGAGCTCAGCGCAGCCGGGTGTGACTGCCAATCAGCGTCTCCTGCCCCCTGGCTGGTTCTCTGGCTGTGCCTGGCGGAAGGGAATCGCACCCCACAAATGGACATTCCCCAAGCATCAGGCAGCCTCCAGCAATTACTGTCAGATTCTGCACTTCGTAGTAATTTCTCTCAGGATTAGCTACTGGCTTAGAAAATTGGGTTACACTGTTATTTGAATTTGCACATAACGGGGTCCGAATGTTCCTTCTAGCAAGCAAATTGCCTCTAGACCTTTGATTCCCTTCGGATGAGACACCACCGACCTTCGATTTCCTAGGAATCGGCACCAAGCGGCCTTCGGGTTTTAATCAACCTTTCCTCTCTCAGCAGGTTAGCGCAATGGCTGCGATTTGCAGAAGAATCTTGGAAATGTGCCCTACTTTTCGAACTCACCTCCACGCTCCGAAGCTGGGAGACACGTTGCCAGGGACTGGGGGCTCTCGCTTCGCCTATGAGACAGACACACAGAAACCCTTATACCGCTCTTCTTGCACGCGGAGCTGGGAGTGGCAGGCGGCCGTGCATCTCTTCAGACCCGCTGGAGGAGGTGGTGCGGGGCACCTTGCGGGGAGGCCACGTGGGACAGCCGGGCTAGTCTGCCCTGGGCACCCACTCGGGTCTACCGAGTCGGCCTCCCTCCTCTTTGATTCAGGGTCTGCAGCAACTCCTTCTCTGGATCACCCCCACCTGGCCCCCTTTCACTGTGTAACTTCAGTGCCGACCTGGTCCCTAAGGACCACCTGCATCTCCCCGGCCCCATTCCTTGTGTCCTCAAAAATAATCAAATCAAACCCAAGCCGTGTGGCGTGTCTGTGCCAGGGGCGCTTGGAGAGGCTGGGGCGGAGGGGAGGATGGAATGCGGCCAGGGATCTGGGGACAGGGCGAGTGAGCTGCAGACCTCAGTCCCTGTCACAGCAAGGAGGGAGGCTGGCGAGGTTAAGGCCGAGGTGGCGGCGCCTAACTCTCAGTGTACCTAACTCAAGAAGCAGGGGTGCGCCCGGAGCATCCTAGGGCGCTGGAGTAGAGGGGCGGAAATGGTGAGGTCGGAGGCGGGGGAGCCATCAGGATATTTGGAAACTGTGTCTGTTTCTGGGCTCTACTTGGGTTTTAGTTTATTGGGAGGACGGGCGATGGGGATAATCTTGGCCATTCCTTGTGGCACGCAGCTGGGATCCCCGCGCTCCGCGCTCCTCCCGTCGGACAAAATGGCAGTGTGACAGCTTGCTGGGTCCCTAGGAGGCCAGAGGAGGCATTCTTTCCATTTAATCAAGTGCCCGCAATCACTTCCGGTACAGGCCGACCAATGGGAGCCGACGGGCAGAGAAAGGGACGTGGTGCCCTGCGGCGAGCCGCGCCTGGAGCAGGGGCTGGGGGAGGAGAGGTGGAAAGACGCCCAAGCCCGGCGTGAGTTCGCGTCCCGGCCTGGTGGCCTCGGCTGGAGCCGGCCAGTGTGAGCTGGCTGCTGCTCCCGGGATGAGAGGGAAGTGAATCCGGGACGGGGCCCTAGTGAGGAGCTGCGGGGAGCTGATGCGGGCAGGAAGTCAGGAGAGGGGCTGCCGGGGTGTGCGCCCAAGGACCGGATCCTGGGGGAGGGGAGCTGTGTCTCCACCGCTGGGTTCCAGCCCCGGCCAGAGAGGCCGGATGGCGGCGTCCAGGTCAGCGCCTGGCACTGAAGTCTGGGGCGGGAAGGGCTCCCCAACCCCCATCATCTCATCCTGGGGGGTCGGGGGTCGGGGAGATTGTCAAACCTCCCGGAGGCTGCAGAGAAAGAGCGTTTGGAAAAACTGGGTAACAGGCGGCAGGACCCCTCCCCAGCCCCCACCTTGTCTTCTTTTTTTATAGAATGACTGGGGTCAGGGGCGTCTGGGAGTCTCAGTCGGTTAGGCGGCCGTCTTGGGCTCAGGTCATGATCTCAGGGTTTGTGGGTTCGATCCCCGCGTGGGGCTCTGTGCTGACAGCTAGCTCAGAGCCTGGAGCCTGTTTCGGATTCTGTGTCTCCCTCTTTCTCTGACCCTCCCCTGCTCATGCTCTCTCTCTCTCTCTCTCTCTCTCTCTCTGAAATAAAACATTAAAAAATTTTTTTAGGATGACCGTGGTCAGAAGGGGCTTTAGAGATCATGAATTACAAAGTACAAACCTCTTCCCCAGATGAGAGAACTGAGGCCAAATGGAAGGGCAGGGGACTGGCTCAGGGTCACACGGAATGCATGGTGGAGAGGGGACCCCCAGCTTTCCACCCAGGGTCCAATGCCTCTTTCCGGTTCATGCTCCTTTCCCTCGCTTCCCCCCTTATGATCCCTTCCCTGCTTTCACTTTGCTTCTGGGCAACAGCTGCTCCTACCCCCAGCCTCCCCGGGGACCTCCAGTCGCCCTCACTGACCCGCGGCTTAGGGTCCGGGAAATTAAACTGCGAAAAGATAAACATTATTTCCAGTCGGCTTTGCAGGATTAATGCTTGTAATAAAGAGCATTAGCTGGAGGTTTCTTTCAAGGCGCTCTCGACCCCACCCCCTCCTGGGGGGCCAGGTAGACCTCTCCAGAGGCTGCGGAGTCCACAGAAGAACTTTGCCTTCCGAGAGCCTCCGGCTGGGGCGTGGGGCTCCGGAGACCCATTTTGTGGAGGGGAGAGGGGCCCTTAGCATCACACGGAGACACCTAGAGACAGGAAACCTGAAAGCCAGAGAGCAGAAAGGCACTAAGCCCCAGGTGGTGTGGCTGATCCAGAGGGCAGGATTCCCCCCACCCCCGGGGAGAAGGGCAGTCTCCCCTACACTCTGCTTCCGGCCATCCAGCCTTCTATGAAACAGTGAGTCCGGAAAGGGAGACTCACTGGATCTGGCTGATTCCCACTCAGGAATTCAAGAAGCTGTCTCCCCAGGTCCTGCCTGTGAGGCCTAGTTTCTCCCCACCTCCCCCAACCCAGAGCGCCAGCCTGCAGCCCAGGGTTGCTCAGGATCCGGTCCTAGGTCTTGGTTGGAGACAGTGGGTGTAGGAAGTTCAACAAAGACTGGCTGGAATCCCAGAAAAGAGCTTTAGCCTCTCATGGCCATGGCAACTTGGCGGTGGCTGTGGACAAGCCCTTTCCCCTCTCAGTTTCCCCAGCTGTGATACACCGGAATGATCTGGTTCTCCGTCCTAGTGCGCTGTCCGCGCCAGCGCTGGGGGTGAGCTCCAGGAGTCTGGGTGAAGAGGCCTGAGAAAGGTACCTCTGAGCCTCTGATTATCCCAGCCTTGAGCCTCCCATGGCAATCTGTTCCCACCACCGCGGCCCCCACTGAGAGCCTCCCGCAAATCTGCCAGTATAATCTCCCAGAATCATATTTTGAATACTGTTTTGATTAAATACGAGAGCAAGGGGAGGGGGGACGCAGCCCCGCTCCCCTCCGCTGAGCCTGCCCGTGCCCCCGGACAGCATCTGTGTGAGCTGTGCAAGGCAGGTGCAGTAAACAAAGAAAGATAGTGTTCTCAGGTCTAGATGGTCTAGGAGCTGGACCACCGACTTCCTTGAGGGCTACAGCGCCTCCTCCCTCGGCTGGAGAACACCCACCATGGCTAGGTTGAGAGGAGAGGCTGAACCGAGGGAGCCTCACACAGCAGTGATCTTCCTTTATTGATTCCTCTCCACTGGCAGTTACTGCATGGCCGCTGGATTCACTAGATAATCTCTATGATCACAGAGGTTCTAAGAGCCTATGACCTTGGCAATGATAATAAGAGCTTCTGGACCCCTTAGCAGGTATCAGACTCAATGCCATGTCCTTTAAACGCTCTGACTCGTGCATATGTCACAACAGTGCTAGAGAACATTATGTTACACTTACTAGTATGCCCATCTAATGAAGGAGGAAACAGAAGCTCAGAGGGATGAAGCCACCCAATGTCAGTTATTCAGCTAATGAAGTGAAGTTCAACTCTGGGGCACCTGGGTGGCTCAGTCGGTTAAGCGTCCGACTTTGGCTCAGGTCATGATCTCTGTCCATGAGTTCGAGCCCTGCATCAGGCTCTGTGATGACAGCTCAGAGCCTGGAGCCTGCCTTGGATTATTCTGTGTCTCCCTCTGTCTCTGCCCCTCCCCTGCTCATGCTGTCTCTGTCTCAAAAATAAACAAACAGTAAACAAAAATTTTTTTTCAAAAAAGAAGTTAAATTCTGAATACAACTTATTCTTAACTGCTAAGTTCTACTGCTAATGTATTAATACTATTATTATTATTATTATTATTATTATTATTAAGTAGGCTCCGTGCCCAGTGTGGGGCTTGAACTCACACCCCTGAGATCAAGAGTCACATGCTGTACCTACGGGGCCAGCCAGGCACCCTGCAACTCTATTATTTTAAGATTCTTTCATTCCATTATGAATGAGAGCCTGTGTTTCTGAGATTCTAAATGTCTGTGAGTCTGTTATCTGGAACGCCTTCCTTCTTTGGAATGTCCAATAGGAAAGGACTCTTGGTACTTCTTGGGCACAGCCCACATATCCTGGCTGAGAGCATCTGTCACCTTTCCCCCTGTCCACATGTCCACACGTCCCTGGGACACGGCTGTCTGAGACACCCCAGGTCAGTGTTGAGCAAAATGTAGCCCCTGTATCTCTACCATGAGAATCAGCCCACAGCTAAAGAATCACGCCAGAGATCTCCCTAGGTGGTCGGATGGGCCTCTAACCTGGGTAGCAGTGGCCAAGCCCTGAGCTCAGCATGACTGCTTACAGTCCCAGCTGCTGGCCACAAGTAAATCACTTCCCAATAACAGATGCCAACACTTCCTCCCGGATTTAGGCTGGATCTACATTCAATCTCCTCATCTGATTTGGCTACCCCCACCCTCACCCCCACCATCCTGAAGCTCCAGGCTTGTAGTGATTGGAGGGGGAAGAGGCCTCTCTCAGCTGTCTAATGACCCACTAGGATTTCAGGGTGGAAGCATGATAGGTACATCAAGCATCGTCGCTTGTACTTCGGTGTGTAAAAGAATTCTGTCCCCAAACATGAACATGTGGCCCAGAGTCCCTACGTACTTGGGAAAAGCCAACATCAAGGACGGAAGATATATCTCAGGCAAATAAAAGAGCCAATGGAGGGGGTGGGCCTCTTGCTGTCTTCTGACATGGGCACTTGCAGCCTCAGCATTAGAAGGTTCTTCCTTTTTTGAACCAATTTCTTTTCCACGTAACTTCTGAAATTTGTCTCCTACCTTCTGGGCCTCCTCTCCCTCTCTCCCCATCTGTGGAGCTGGTTTGGCCCTTATTCTGAAATCAGAGTAAGGATGGAGTCTAATGGGGGTGCCTTAGTGTCTGGCTTTTGATTTCAGCTCAGGTCATAATCCCCGAGTCCATGGGATCAAGCCCCATGTGGGGCTCCATGGAGCCTCCTTAAGATTCTCTCTTCCTCTGCCCCTCCCCTACTCGTGCTCCCTCTCTCTCTCTCTCTCAAGAAAAAAAAATGGAATCTAACGGCTATTTCCCAGCTATCTGGCAGAGGACCCCTCTAGCTGTGTGATTTTCTTCATTAAATATTAAGTTACAGATGGGGGAGAAACAGTGACCCAAGTCATCAAACGT